CTTTCCAAAAATTCTGTCCACAACATTGAGAAAAGTGAAACGTTCAGGAGAATTGCCCGTGTAGAGATATCCCAAAATGTGGTCCTGGGGGTCCAAACATATCGCATATGGTCGGATAAGTTTGGGAAATGTCCAGCCACTTGCCTTAGTGTAGGATTTCTTGCTCCTGCTTCTGGGGCCCTGTAGGGGGTGATGAGAGAGGAGAAGCTGTGGTGGAGAATGTATCTAACCATAGGACCCCCACAGTTAATTTAGAGGAGCTACAGGACCAGTGTACCCTACAATACAACTGAGAGAAATAATTGTCTAGGCATTTCAGAAGATTCCAGAACATAACCATTTACAGCTTTTCTCAGATGAAACCACTGTGGACAGAAAGGTCATCCACCACCTTGGGTCAAGGTCACACAACTAAAGGAAAATTGAGGACCAAGAACAGAAGAACACAGGCTCCTGGCATCCATTCCAGGACTCCAGGGCTCCCTACCCCATATGGTTTCTTTCTTAAATCACAAAAGGCAAGGCTCCAGGGAGTATGCGCTTTACAACAGGGATAACTCTGTAAGGGTCAGAGATGTAGCTTCATGGTATAGCTCTTTCCTAGCATCTGTGAGGCTCTGGGTTTGATCCAAGCACAACACCATAAAATAAAATAAAACAGGGATAACTCTAGAAAGTACTGGCTGACCTGTAGGATCAGCCTCTTGTGCGTCGACACCATGCTAGGTACTCTGGACATATAACCTGACTTGCTCATAACATGCGGGGGTCAGTGTCTTACTCCATTTTATACATGAAGGAAATGAGCTTAGAGAGGTTCCCTTCCTCGTTCAATCTCTTTCAGCAGGGAAATTGCAAAGCCAAGGTTTAGACCAAAGTTCACCTGGTTTCCCCCACACAGTGCAGTACGTTGTCTCATTCTGGCCTTTCACTAGCTCTCAGGGGTAAAAAAGAAATCTCTGGAAACAGGAAACCAAGGCTCGGGGAGGTTAAGCTTGAGAAGGACAGTGACAGGTAGGTGGGTGCAGTTCGGCATGGCCACATCTCAAGTCTGCATCCAGATCAGCTCTCCAGCAGTGCTGGCCTTACTTCTTCTCTCTGCCTTGATTAAACAGGCACCCACTATGCATGAGCCCCAGGGAGATTCAAGCATCCGGTGCCTCGAACTCAGACTCTTCCCAGCTGCACTTATACCGTGCTGGGCTCTGCTTTCCATCACTGTAGAAAAGCCCAAGGACATAGTTGCCTGTGCTCCGCTGACAAGTCAGCACATCCGTCCTGCCTCCGCTTGACCCCTGCTGATAGGAAGGGGACTTGTCTAATTAAGTAAGGAGCCCCTCCTACGCATGCACTTTGAGCCCATGTGAGCTGTCCATGAGAAAGGTCTGCCCATGGCTTGGTCTCCAGCCAGTTTCTCCTTCCACAGTGGAGCAGACCAGCAAACAGAGACCCATTTCCCTGGAGGTTCACCCTCTGGCTTCCCCTTGCCAGCACTTGAGGAAGTAATTACTTGATTCTCTGTAGTTTGGGATTTCATGCAAAGGGCTGTCAAGCTCTTGGTGGAGGACAGTGTGCTCTGTCCTGCCAGGCTATTTTAGGGAGCTTCAGTTGCATTTCCTCTCCAGGTCATCAGCTGTCAGACAGCTGCGTCCGCCTTCTGGTCGCTTTTGCTAATTAAAGTCCCACAGAGCTAAGGGACTGGGCTCCAGAGAGAGGGGAAGACACTGAGAAGCTGGGGAAAGGTGTCAAAACATGGGAGCCTCTGATCACCATCGCCTGGGCTGTGCTGTCGGACCAAGATCCCACATCTGCACCCTGGAGGGACGCGCTCCCTCCTGGCACCCTCTCATCTGAACCTTTGTCGCCCCATGGTGGCCCATGTTAGAAATGCAAGCAGCGTGCATTCACTCAACATTTATTTAGAGTAGGATTTCCAGCTGTGACTCTATAGGCAAAAATAAAAAAATTAAATTTCAGTTGAAACCAGGTGAGTTAGTCAAAGTCTAGAGGTTCCTTTCTGCAGAGGTTCTCAGAGACTTTATGCAGTCCGACCTCGTGTTTCCTCAGCTGCTCTGATACTTCCTCCAGAGCCTTTTCTCAGGAGTACCTAAGGGCATTCTCTTGTTCAGCAGAGCTCCCATCAGGACATGGTGGCTACAACACAGAGCCAAGCGTCACAGGCAGGCTTTGTAGTCTAAGAGGTCGTTCCTCTCTCCAAAACTGTGAAAAGGAGAAAATAAAGCAACACTGATTCTGGAATCAAATGGAATGAAAATGCACAGCACTGAGCCTGATAGGGTTGTTATGGGTTTTGTAAAATAAACCAAAGAAATTAATCATGGGTTCAAAAGTACAGCCACAAATCTTTGACTGTTATTGTTTACACCAAATTAGAAATAACTGTTGTCTTTACCATTTGATAGCATAGATGCGAAGGACAGGGAAAGACTTGAGGAACTCACCTACAGTATTTCTTAAGCAACTTTCTGTTGTGAAGTAACACGACCTAAAAAGGCTAATGCCTACCCTATTTGAATGACACTATTATTAAAATTTTGTGTGGATAAAATAAATAATATTTTACTGGAAAAGCAAACTGAGTTACAGTTTGAAGGATAATGCTAGGCTCGCCTGGAGACGAAGACGAAACTTCACCTGACAGCGCAGGAGTGAGCATGGATGGCCTGCCACCTGTTGTAGATAAAATGTTACCTGAACACAGCAGTGCTCATTGGTTTACATATTGCCCGCCTTCCCTCTACAGTGGAGGATAAATTCACTGCATCGGAGGAATCATGGTACTCAAGGCCTAAAGTCGCAATTGTACGGCCTTTTCCAGAGGTGTTTGCTTAGCTCTTTCATGGATTTGTGGAAGGCATAAAGATTATCTGACCAAACCCTGCACTGTGTCAATGACAAAACTGAAATCAGAGACATTAGGGAACTGCCCGGTTTATTGATGTTTGGGAGTTCTGCTCTTTATACCCAAACAGTCCTCCTCAACAGGGAAGACGAGGATTTGATCTCAGATACCTGCGCCAGCTGGTGGGAAGTCACCAGCGGGCAGAGCGCTTGCAGCAGTCCCAGTGGGAGGGAACGCCATGGCGACGCATCTCCCATGGGCCAGGACGCAGGCAGCGCTGCCCAGGGCTGCGCACGAACTGTGCATAGGCACTTGTTGCTCCTCGTGTCTCCTGGCCCTGTGGCTGCCTCTCTCCTCATACCCGGTGCGATCAAAATACACCGCGAATGTTTTCGTATAAAGATGAATCACCATAGAAGACACACTGCCATCCACTCCCCTCAAAATGCCCCCATTTTGAATACCAGTCTTGCCGTTTCCTAGGAGTCGTCTTTCATGGGTGTCTCCAGTGGTGCTGTTTTGGCCGCCTCGGTGTCCTGAATCAATTCAAAGCATTTAGCTTCCTTGATCGTTCAGGCTTTGAGGGAGATCTGGAAGTCTCGGGGTGTCAGATACAGTGAATGAGGGGGATGAGAGCACACAGCAATGATTTCACAAGCCTGGTCTGCAGCAGCAGCAGCAGCAGCACTGCAGGACTGCGGTAGTTTTTAAATCACACCCAGTATGGACACTCATGAAAGTGGACTTCCAGAACTGCTTCAGGAAGGGGCAAGAACGATGGGAAAAGTGTGTTCAAAACTAAAGGGAGTATTTTGAGGGTGCTTGATGGCAATGTAATAAATATTTTTTAAGTTTATAATTTACTGTATGTGTTGATCAGGTCGAGTCTGTCTGCCGTATGAGCCCTTGATTCATCGGGCCCAAGCAGAAGTGCTGTGCCGGCCCTCATCAGGAATACTACGGCAGAACAGTTTGAGTGAGGGACGACCCCTAAACAAGGTCATGCAAATGTCTCTCTTTCATCGTCTTCCTCCTGGAAGAGTTTACTTAGGGGTTTTACTCTAACTGGATATGTCTGTTACAGGAATCACCCTTTGCTGCAAATATATCCATGGGTCTCAAGGTAGGGGTGTAAAGTAAAAAGTCCTGAGTTTATTGACTTTTGTGACCCAACCTGAAAGTCTCCGTGTTTGTGCTTTTATGCAGCTGGACAACCCAGATGAGCAGGCAGCCCAGATCAGACGGGAGCTGGATGGACGTCTCCAAATGGCTGACCAAATAGCCAGGGTAAGCAAGTGCTGGGGGTGTTTGCTGGGGACCAGGCCAAAGTCCAACCCAGAAAGCACACGGATTATCAGAGCCTCTGAAAGGCAGAGTTGAGAAGCAGAGAGGAAGAAGGCGAGGGCTTCGCCCCCACTGGACCTCAGCCCTCCTGCTCAGGCTGTTCCACAGGCTGAGCACCGCCTGCATTTACCTCCTAAGCTCCAGCAAATGTCCAAACACAGGCCTGTGCCTCGGTCCCGAGTTCCAGGCCCATGTTTCCTGCCATCTCCTGAACATTTGCATTCAGACAGTCCCCTGGCATTTCAGGCTGAATGTGTTCAAATTCTGCCTCCTTAACATCTACCCCCCACCTACACTTACTACCTACCCCTCCGTGTTTCCCACCGCTCACGTCTGTATCCTGTTACTGAGGAGGGAGCCTCCCGGGCATTGTCAGCTTCTGCTTCCCCCGCCTGCTTGAGGGTGGGAGTCTCTTGGCTGCTTTCCTGCCCGGCTCCTACGCTGACCCAGGGCCCGTCTTCCTTACCTGGGAGATGAGCAGCTCCTACTTGGCATCCCTGATCCGTCCCCCACACCTGCCCATCCTGCACACAGTTGCCTTTCTAAAACCCACACGGGACACCTCAGAACAGAGAACTAGAACCCTTCAGTGCATCTCTCATGGACCCAGGACACAGTCTGACCTCTTTGGACTGATGTTCAAGGCTCATAATCAACAGACCACACTCCCGTGCTGGTGTCCTCTCTGTCCGCTTTCCCACATCTCCCCAGTCCAAGAGCCTGGAGTCTGACCTACCCAAGAGGCATTCACACTGCCCTGTGCATCACCTTCACTATGACGGACTTTGGACACCATCGGTTTACCTCTGTGAATCTCCCAGGGCTGGCTTCCTTCTTATTGTTGATGACCAAAACCACGTGTTATCTACTCTTTGCGGCCAGTGCTATTTATGTTCTGATGACTTCACCAGCGCTAGCAGTGTTCATGGTGACCTGACCCTGTGTCGGGTGTGATGAGTGCTTTACATGTCATCTACGTCAGTTCTCAAAGCAGCACCCCAAAGACACTTCTGCATCATTCTTGTTTTAGAGATGGGAAATGCCAACTCAGCATGACAGACACTAGAAAGAGGCCAGACTGGACCCTCAACTCCGGTCCGTCTGAACATCAGAGCCAGCGCTCGCTCAGGCCGACTGAGCACAGAGATGTACTAGTGGATGCAGAATCCAAAAAGAGCCCAGAAACTCAGTCACCAAAATAAATAACCCTCCCATGAAACCCTTTCCTGTCATAGTCAGTGCCCAAAACCCAGGATAAATAAAATATCAAAATGTTAAGTAACTACCGGCTCTTCTGGGTTCCTCTTGTAGCCACCATCTGCATACACATGAGAGGGCAGGCTCCAGCAGGGCAGCAAGGCTGGGCAGGAGGAGGAGTCCCCAGATTTGGACGTATACAAGGTTATCCTAATGGGGGAAAGCCAAAGAGACATTCCAGGAGGAAGGGAAATCCCTCTACTTCTGCTCAGGCACTTCTTGCTGACGTGCTTCTCATCTTGGTTTTGGACACCTTTAAAGTTTATAACCAAGTCAATCTCATAGCTAAAAATAGCATAGAGTTACAGATTTGGCCAAAGGTAGCATAGAAGGCTCTTAGGTTTTAAAGCCCTGCTTAACATGGGAGTAAACATCAGCAAGGATTTAATTCCTCTGTAAACTCAGCATTTTCTACTAGCGGATTGTGTAGAAAATATAAGTCATTTGGTCCATTCCCTTATATTTTAAGCAGCTATTCCACCCTCAGCTAATAAGTATTCATTCCTTGTAAATACATTATACACAGGCTTCAAAAACAAGTTCATGACAGGTTTTATTTTAACTGTTCTGTTTATTTTGAAGCTTAACATGATAATTTATGAAACTAATACTGAGCTCGTTTTCATTTTTAGAATATCATAGATCAGTGCTTAGTGTACAGTGAGCTAAGGTTCTTTCCACTGAGCTACCTCCCTAGCCCTTTGTTATTTTTTATTTTGAGACAGAGTCTAAATCCATAAAGTACCCAGGCTGGACTTGAACTTATGATCCTCCTGCTTCAGCCTCCCAGAGTGCTGAGATTACAGCTGTGCACCACCGTGGCCAGCATCTCTCTGAGAAAGTGACTCTCTTCCAAAACGCTCTTTTATAACATTGGCCCCTATGCCACAGTGAGCTGATCTTGGAGTTAGTTCTTCACCCATAGAGAACTATCATAGTACTCAGACTGCCCTGGCATGAGTGGATGGTCCAAAAATGGATGCATACTGCAGGGTAAACAGGAGAAATGGCTTCCCAGAGCCTGTGGAGGGCAGCCTGACAGACTGCGTTCCAGGGCTAAGGAGCTGTCTGCAGCTGGGCTGGGAATGGAGAAACCTGAAAGGATGAAGCCCTCACAGAGGAGAAACAGAGACAGGGCGTCCGCCAAGACACCAAGCGGCCCTCGGGCTGTCTACAGACCTCTTCTCAGTTATTCTTGAGTTTCAGCTCTGTAGCTACTTTGCCCATAATTTAGTTGGATTCTATGAAAAATAATTTCTCCTTTCATCTAAGCCAGTCAGGCTAATGCTGGGGAAAACGAAGAAATAGCTCATCTACTAAAAATTAATTAAAATGTCAAGGCTGCATGGAGACACCGCTACCAGGCACCACAGCTTCTTTTCTTTTAGCGTGCCCTGATTTGCTATTTCCAGCATCACAGTGAATTTTAGTGAGGAAGTGCAATTCAGTCCATATGGCTGAATGTCAGCTCCTCTACATCCTAAACCAGAAATTCCTGGATATAGATGTCACCCATCATGTATAATTCTCTCTGCCTTAAAAGATGGGTGAAGCACTGGAGATGGCAAGTGAGAGGCATCGACTAGAGGTCGCTTGTGGTAAAAAGGAGGGATAATTCTAGGGATTGAGAAGCCCATGGGCAAGGGATAGCCAGGCCAGGAAAGGACAGGAACCAGGACCCAGAGGGGCAGGACTTTCTGTCCCCCTCCCTCTCTCTCTATCTCATTTGTTCTCTCTTTCTCTGCAAACCAGCTTCCTTGCCTTCTCAGGTGGGAAGTGCAGCTGCCCCACAGGTCTGCAGGTTTCTGGTCTCTACAGGCAGGAACCAGTCAGCCACTTTCTGAAATCTTTCTTCTTTCACTTTTCCACTTTTTCAGTCTCACAATTCCAAGACCTGAACCTTGATTGCCCCAACTTGGTTCAAGGGCCAATCCTGGTGCAGTCAACCAATGCACTGTGGAGAAAAGGTGAGAGTTTTCTTGGGCACATGGATCCTGGAGATGGGTCTAAGTGGTACCTAAGGGGTAGGGCTATAGATGGGATGTCATTACAAATTTCAGGATACCCCAGATGTACCTGGTATGTGCAAGTGGTCACCCCCATGCCATCCGTGTTGATTGGGAAATGCTGGAGTAGCCACTGCTATGGAACTAAAATGCATGCTACGTTGTGAAATTCCCAAATGCAGATCCTCCTTTTCCTCATCATGCCAGTCTGAAAGTCCAGTCTGCCCTCCGCCCAAGTGTCACCATCCCCCATCCTTACCTCTTTCCTCACTGGTAGCCCTTTACGAAACATGCCAGGCACTGGCTGTGCAGTTTCACGTCAGCTCTCATTTCAGCCTATGATAGACAATCCTTGAAGTCACAAAACTGTCCCCCATTTAGCCAATTGAAGCAAACTGAAAGGTGATCCCTTCCTCTTCACTCTCTGCACTTCACTTCATGCCATCCACGTTGGCTGGGAAATGCTGGAGCGGCCCTTGCTGTGGAGGACTCGGCAGCCACCAGCCCTCTGCTGAGTTAAAGTGATGTGCTCAGTTTCATTCTGCTAAGAAGCAGAAAGCTGATACTCCAGTTCCAAGTTCCAGGCTATTTCTTTCGAGTAATCAAATGAGAGACAAGAAATTACTCCAAGACAAGACTGTTTGCCAGTCCTCTCTCCCTGATGATTAACTCTCCAGGAAATGGCTTTTCTTTCTCCACTAAGATCTGCTGTATACTCCCTTTAGCTTATCTAGAAGCCAAGTAAGACAGGCTGTGCTAAGTGGAATGGACTTCTGGAATTCAGAATACTCTTGACTGATTTTTTTTGGAATATGGCAAAGAGATTATAAAGATCCCTAGATTTTTTCCAAGAGCATTCTTAGCATCATACACTTTACTGAAAGCCATATGTTTCTCCTCTCTCCTAGAGATAGGAAGGCAGGAGGACATCCACTGTCCTTTACCCACGACCCTATATTATTACTCACCTGCTTATCACACCAGCACCCCACAAATCAGCCAGAGACAGCTAGCTGTAGAACATCAGACAGAAATGACCTCACTGTGAACATCAGTCACATTGCCTTAAAAGTCCCAGGAAGAGATCTAAATACATATTTTTAAAATCTAGTCAAAAATACTTCAATACTTTTTAATCCCTGTTGAAACATTTTCCCAAATCCTCTCATGCTGACATTTAAGTGTCCCCAAATTTCACCTAGGAATTAAGTCTAAGTTATTCAAATTGTGTGATCAGAAGTTGACACTGCAGCTTAAACCGGCAGATTGTGGCATTAGTGCTATTGTGATATTTGCTAGTGCTTTTGGCCACATTTTAGGGTAAAATTCCAAATTCTTGAGCTAATTACATAAGAGAAATAAGATAGCCTTTGTGGAATCCATGGCAGAAAGAGATTTTTCAAGCTATCATTAAATGTGGAATTGCTACTTAGACCCCTAAGCAGAGCAAAACCACCTCTTAAACACTGGCTGTATTGCAAACACCAGTAGAAGTTGTGTCTAATACTTTCCTCATGGAAAATGCTATTGCACATATTGGCACAAATCAGAGGGGACTGGAATCCTCTCCCACCAGCAAGGGATAGTAGGCCCCAGCTTCTAAACTACCATTGTGACCTGGCATCCATTCTGCATCAGGGAGGAGCACAGGTGTCCAAACTTACTTACAAGGAGGAAGTT